TTTGGGCCTAACTTTGGGCCTAACCTTGGGCCAAACTTTGGGCCTAACTTTGGGCCTAACTTTGGGCCTAACCTTGGGCCAAACTTTGGGCCTAACTTTGGGCCAAACTTTGGGCCAAACTTTGGGCCAAACTTTGGGCCTAACCTTGGGCCTAACATTGGGCCTAACTTTGGGCCTGAAAGTTACTTTGCTCCCCCCCACCTCCCCACAGATGTTTAAAAAACCAAATAAATAGCTGGCATGTCGAGTCGGACGGCCACAGCCAGCTGCCTCTTCATATGAGTAACGATTTTTTTACTGTCACATTCTGCTGAGGCACAAACTATCCACAGCCCTCTAGAACGGTAACCTGAAACAATTTCATTACATTTGATTGGCTCCTATAATTCTTTTGTGTTAAGATGCTCTTTCACTTGTTTGTCGGATTTAGCGATAACACAGTGTCCTCATGCCCAGTTATGGGGCTGCATGGTCCAGTGTACATGAGGACCTGCCCCCCCCACTCTCCTGAACAGCTTCTGGCCCATATTGTTGGATAATCCCTAGGCTCAGTTTTAGGCCCCATACTAGTGATGGACTAAATGTGAACCATTTGCTGTATTTTTTAACCCCACTAGATGGCACTCTTGGTTTGCTTTGGGGCATGCTTTGTGCTTGTACTGTTTTCTAACAGAGAGCATCATCTACTCGGGTCACGAAATACAGCACATGGTTCGTGAAGCGTCATTTTGTCCATCACTACGCCATAGCCACTGAGAGCTCCCAAGTCGAAAACCTCCAGCACACACGTCAGCATTCTCATGGACACTCCTCACCACCACGCCCCCTACTGACTAGCCAGTCCTTTTGCAGATCCTGCCCCTTGCTCACTGCCTGTTTATTAGGCCCAGCTGACTGGGGGTTGCCGCCTCTGTCCTGAGTCTTTCCTGCACTAATTGTCCCAGTGCCATTAGTGTCTTCCATTAGTGCCCCCCCCCCCCCCCCCCCCCCCCCCCCCCCAAGCCCCCTAGTCCTCCTCAGGGCTCTCCATTCTTACTGTGCCTCAGAGACCTGAGAGTGCTTGCACAGGCTGGCACAGGTGAGTAGTGTGTGTGTGTGTGTGTGTGTCTGTATGTCTGTGTCTGTCTGCATCTTCAGCTCCAAACATCTTTCCGCCATTATTTCGTTTGCCATCGATTCCTTCGATTCAGAGAAATGCTCTAGAAAATATAAACGTGACTTAATTCGAACTTTTTGAAACATTAAGCAGGAAGGATGGGGTGTGTATGCCCTGGGGGGTTGGGAATCTGGACAACATAGCGCAGTACTAATCAATTCAGAAGCAGAAGTCTCGGACCCGATTGGCCCGTTGTTCCGCATTGGCCAGGGCCGCATGCGTGAGAGTAACTTTCTTATTTAACAGGGGGAGTCGCGTGAGGTAGGCTCGGATCAGATGCATTCTGGGATTCCCAATTCCTGCAGCCTGTGTCGGCTGCTGCGAATCTATTTTTCATGCCGCGTCGCACCCAGCAACGTTCCGTAAATCTGCGGCCTGTTGGAAAGGGGGATTATATGAAAAAAATTGAATAAAGATTAAATATTAAAAGTTGCCACTCGAACAGCGGCACCCCCAGATGAGGGAGACCCTGGGCCTGGGCGAGCGGCCGGGGGAGGAGGTGAAACCCAACACCTACGCTTTCCAGCACATGGCCCAGCAAAGGTCTACATGTGAGAATCCTGCATGGCTGATAAGGTGCCATGGCGTCGTTCACGTGTCAGGACCACGCAAGGGACATGCAACTCCAATGATCAGCCATTTTCAGGCCTGAATTCAAGCGTGATTGGTGTAGCCTAAGTGATTGACACGTCACGCATCCAATGGCAGTTCAGCTCTCGCAAACGGCGCCGTATATTATCGTAGGAGACTTTACCCTCTTCCATGCAGACGTCAGATTGACACAACACATACCTGCTGCTGACTCAGACGGAAACTCCTGGCAGCTGAAGGGGAAGCTGAACAGAAAGTTCTGGGATCTTCTTGCTTTCTTCCGGGATACCGCAGGCATGAGAGAAGCGGAGAACGTCGCTGTGAAGAAGATGCCTTTTAGACCGTAAGGTCCTCTGCTCGGGCCCAGCAGTTTGCTGCTGAAAAACAGAGTTAAGAAAGAAACGCATTTCTAAAACAATTCTTTACTTCTGTAAACTAAGACCATGTGAAACCTGTCTACTGCTGTCTGTCTAAACTTTGAGCAAAGGCCACACATTTCTATCCTGGAAAATGTATGTTCTTGCCCTTGTAAGACTTGCTCTGGGCTGGTTAGGAAAGAGAGTCATGTGACCACGGGATGGGGAGAAGGAAATGGGGATTTTGTTTAGAAAAAGCAGCATCTAATCTGCCCCAAATCGCCCCCTCCCCCATCTTACACGTCTTGTGCCTTACCTGCACTGGTCACTGTTGTAACTCATTACCAAAAATCAATAGCCATTTTTCCACCATCAAGATTTAACAGCTTTACTATTTTGTCAATAGCCTTCACCCTTTACCAGATTGTCAATAAGCTAAACATGCAATTTAAACTGGATGAATGCAGAAGGCGCCCCCTATGGGGATGCACTAGTAATGCAAGATGTTTGGCTACCCGGGTGTTGATTGTATCTTTTTATTTCATTAGTTTATAAAAGGATATGCATGGCCCTCCTTCTTTGCTGTTTATTACAGGAAGCTCCCAGTCCCGGTACTGTCACACTCCCCGGACCGCCAGCTGTCCCCACTCCACCCCGCTGCCCCATCCACAGATGAGACGGGTGGTGTGATGTCACAGGAGGTATTCTGGAAACTTCTGATCCTTCTGGGCGTCCCTGTGATTCCGCTTCCCAGCATGGTGGCCTGGGTTGGGGACGAGGACTCCGGACTACAGGTGGGGGGGGGGCGGGGGGGGGGGGGGGGGGGGGGGTGAAAAACCCCCCCCCCCCCCCCACTGTTTTATGCACTCATCTCCGCATCTGGCTCCATTATGCAGCACAATAAAGAAACAGGCTTTCTGACTGACACTCATTAACGATGTGTCCTCTTGTGCATCGCCACCTTCCTTTTTCTGTGTCCCGGCACAACGGGACGCCCATTTTTGTGCTCTGCTTTGTGACGCGTGCATGGCAAGGCAGGCAGTGGCGTCCTCACGCATTTCCTGCATGCGTCTCTCGGTAGCCGGGGTCTTTTCCACCGTCCGAACCAGGGGCTGATGGGAAAGTGGGGGACCTGAAACAGCGCCCCCTGCTGGAACCTTAACCAGCTCTCAGATCCTGCAAAGTGTAATATGGGTCCTTCTGCATGCATGCAATTGAAAACCTGCATATGCAATTAGATTATTTTTTTTTGGGGGGTGGGGGGGGGGACTTTTTTTCCCTGTCTGGACGAAAAAACATTCCTTATCTTTTTATCAAGCTCTCTTGATTTCAAAATGACCAAAAAGGTCACCTGCCAATATATTTGCATGTTCAGCGCAGCTGAAACGGTAAAATACTTCTTGGGAAATAAGTCGACGGAGACGACAGGTTCCTCTTTTTCACCCCCCCCCCCACTCCTGCCCCCCTCCCTGTTCTTGTTGAACAAAAACACATATTTATCAAGATCCTGGTTGCGGGCGAAAATTCCAGGTAGTTACAATAGCCCTGACGCTTGTTAGGTTTTTATTTTTTTAAAGCGCCTTGCTTCAGGGCAACCCCCTAGCCCCCCCCAGCCCCCCGCCCCCTGCCAAGCCCACACCATACACCTGCTGTCAGTGCCGTGAAGCAATGAAGCCATAATACAATGGCAACAGATTGAGGCTATTGACTGTCATAAAGATACTAAGTTAGAATGCGACAGCAGACGCGTGCGCGTGTGTGTGTGTGTGTGTGTGTGTTTGTGCCTCTTCGGTTGAATCGCCCCACCCTGGCGACGGAGCCGCATCCCGCTGCAGGCTCGCCACTCCGATATCAGCTCTGCCTTTTCAGACACGCTGCTGACAATAGTGCTTAGCTTCTGGCGTGTTCTGTGCGCGGCGTCGCTCTAAATGCGACCAGGCGGAGACTGATAACCGCCCCCCCTCCGGCGTGGCGGCCTGTGATCCGGCTAATTGGGAGTAACGGGGAGACAGGAGAGGTTAACTAACGAGAGGGGACTGTCCCATCCATCTTCAGGCCTCCACTGAGCGCTAGTTATCGATTCACTCGCTGCTCCAAGCTGCTGCAGGACACAATTCCTGCTGCAGCCCAAAAAGTGACAGGGGTTCCGGGGAAGCGACCTCGGACATAACGCCTGTTCCGTGAGAATCTGAAGTATTCCGTTCCTAACATATTCTCTAGGAGCTGGATATTTAGCTAACCCCTCTTCACACCCTCCACCTGAAAAACAAAGCAGTCGTTCTTAAAACCACGTGATGAGAACGTTGTGAGTTCCGGGAGAATCCGGTGAGATGTCGCATGGGCCAGATGTGCCGCTACTGATCTTTAAAACGGAAAAACACGGAAAAGGTGCAGGACTCGCGTTGTGAGAACGTAAAATCATGGCCGTTGAGGCCGCTGCTTCATTATCTGATTCCTCGCCGTGGTTATTCTTCCCCAGCAGGGCCTATCTGCGATCCCAAGCAGAACAGCAGATGCAAATCTGGCAGCAGCGGCGCGCGGCACCGGCTGTTTGCCCGGCGCGGGGCGGCTTTCGGTTTCCAGACCCGGCAGACGCACGTCGTTACGGAGCAGTGAGCAAACAGGACCAGCAGGCAGGCGCCTTCCACGCCCCAAGGTGCGAGAAGATCCTCAGCTTCTCAAAACATCCAGTTTTATCAATGGGCTGTAAGTCTCACTCAACAAAAGCACAGATTATTATATTATTATTATTACTGTTGTTGTTGTTTATGCCAATAATAATAGTAATAACATCCTGGGTTGTTGCTCTGTACCCCCCACAACCCTGAACAGGCTGTAGCAGTTTACTGTGCTACAGCCAGTATAGGCGGGACCTCGGGCAAGTAGTAAAGGTGACATCTGAAGGGGCTTCAAACAGAACCTCTGAACCGCACCTCCGATTGGGATCTCTACATGTCCGTAGGATGTGGCATTCAGACAGAACCTTCAGCTTGGACCAAGCGTCACAATCCCAGGGGACCTGCTGCCACGAAGCACACGAGCGGCATCATGTGCATGGATCTGTATAAACACAGCGACCAGGGGCCTGTTTCACAAAGCAGGATTTCTTGCTTAGCCAGATAACTTGCCAGATTTAAGGTAGTCTGGGCTAAATAGACCTTATTTTCATCAACTTACATTCAGGCCAGACTACCTTAAATCTGGCAAGTTATCTGGCTAAGCAAGTAATCCTGCTTTGTGAAACAGGCCCCAGATGTGCGAGGTACAGAGAGGCACCTCAGTGTGACGTCTTTCTGAGAGTCCGAGAGTGGCTAGAGTCAGCAGTCAGTAGCAGACATATCGAGGGCAAAGTTCACGGGCCGCTTTTCCATCAAACAGGCTCCGGAGCTGAAGAGGGCACCTCTCCCTTCCCACCCAGATCTCTCAGCACTGTTCCCACTGACATAAACGAGGAGGACCTGTTCATGTAGGTCTGCCGTGGCTCTCTGCCGTGAGCGAGGCAGAAGGGGCAGGTGGGGAAGCGAAGGAAATCATAAAAGGCACCCTGACAGCAAAGTGCAGAGGCGACGGGCAAGTTCCAGATCTAAAAATAGAAGCCGACTAAAAATAAAAGCAGAATGCGAAAAGTTAAAAGGGCAGAGCAGGAAAGTGCGTAAAAAGTGCGTAAAAAGTACATAAAAATGGGAGAGAGAGGCACTCGGAGGCACTCGGAGGCAGTCTATGGATACGTGCAGGGGGCCTTGTCTTCAAAGTCAGTTTTTTTTGTTATTTGTTGTTTTTTGAAGCAGGTAACCCCCCCCCCCCCACAAAAGTGCAGTCACCGTGTACAAGGTGTACAGAGGTCACGAGGCGGGACGCACGCGTGGGCTAAACACACTCAATTACGCTGCCTTTGTTTCCCGTCGGATGAGCGGAGTGAAATTAATCCGGGGGCGAGCTGGTAATTAGGGGCCTGGCACACCCCAATCGCTCCCCGCCCCCCCCCAACCCAACCGTAGAGACAGGCTTCCCAGCTGACGGCGGCTCACGTGACGTTTCAGGATGGGGGGCCCTCGGTCGCCCATCATATGGCATGCCTGGGGGGTCCGGGGGGGG